TGTAGCTCCTGCTATAGTAGACACTATATCAGGATGACCCTGGCTGCATGCTACATGAAGTGCTGTGTTACCATTGCTATCTGGCATGTCTACTAATTGTACACGGGGTTTATTGTAGCTTGGACTATCCAATAGATATTCTACTATTTCCAAATGACCCTCTTGAGCTGACAGATAAAGTGGAGTACGACCAGAAGCATCAGTGATATCAGGATCACAGTAACGACCATCAATAAAAAACCTCAATATATCCAAAGATCCTCCCTTTGCTGATATGTGTATTACATTAAACCCTTTATCGTCCAGTATAGAAATATTGCAGTTTTTACTGTTGAGGTAACGAATGATAGAAAGGTTCTTAGAGAAAGCTGCAATAAGTAGTGGAGTACGTCCAAAAGAGTCTGTCATATCAAGAGATAATGGTGAATGGTCTATAATGTACTTGACAATACTCAATGATCCTTCTTCACAGGCTAGATGAACTGGAGCCATTCCATTGTAATTTTTAGTAGTGAGATCCAAATGATGCTCCTCCACTAAATGTTTGAGTATAGAAAGAGAATGACTCTTACATGACAAGTGAAGAACTGTTGATCCATTTAAAGTTTTAGCTGATACGTCACACTGAGGAATACTAGTGAGGTAGAGAACTATAGCAACATGTCCTTCCTGACATGCTATGTGAAGGAGTGTAGATTGAGTATCATTTCCAGGAACAGTAGCATTAACATCAAATGAATAATTGTGTAATAAATGCTTTAAACGATACAAACGGTTGTATTGTGCAGCAATGAAAGGTAATATACCTTCCTTAAATGAGACTACATTAATATGATACTCTTGTCTGAGCCATTCAAGCATATAAACATTTCCAAATATTACTGCAACTTCTGGTGATGATCCTTTGCCAAATACTTTAGGATTAAGGTTGTATTGTTTTATTAATAATTTTAGAAGATCAAGATTACCAGAATAACATGCTTGTGTGACACAAGTATTGCCGCTCTTATTTTCAGTAGTGATATCACACTTCATTTCATCAATTAGAAATGTCACTAGTTGTATTACACCACTAGCGCAGGCATAATGAATTGGTAGAGTATCAGTGTTATTAATAGAATGTAAGAGGCTAGTATATTGTTGATAATTATTGATAACATATTTAGTAAATAAAAAATTTCCATTCATTGTAGAATAATGAAACACATTTCTGTTGTATGCTCCATCTACTATACCCAAATCACACCCACAATCTTTTACCAAATATTCTAAGACATCAATAGCGCCAAATTCAGCTGCACAATAGACTGCTTGCATGCCATTACCATCTTTAGCTTCAGGATCTAATTTATATTCATTAATTAACTGTTTAACTAATGATAGTTTAATGCTACGTACTGCTTGAAGTAACGCAAATGATGTAAGAGGCAATTGATGATCATTAATGAGGTATTGGACTAGATTCATGTTACCACCCATAGCACTATGAATCAATGCATCCCATTTATTGTTATCTGTTATATTAATATCACTGTCTTGTACTTCAATGAGGTATTGACTGAGATCAATGTTACCATGAGAACATGAATAATGAAGAGGTGTTCTGCCCTTATTACAGGTTATATTAATATCAATGTCAGTAGTATTGGCAATATACTCAACTGCATTGATACTACCTGACATACAAGCTAATGCTAATGGTACTATACCTTTGTAGTCTGGTTGACTGGCACTCAAGCTATACTGAGATACAGTATAACTGAGTAGAGCAGATGAACCTGATAAAGCAGCATAATGTACAGCAGACCGACCCACATAATCTAATGAACTTGTATTAATACCATACTCCTCTAATACCTTCACTAATAATATACTACCACTAGTACATGCTAAATGAACTAATGATTGACCAGTAGCAGTAGTAGAATTTATATTGAAATTATTAATAGTGCTTGTCTTCTTGAGGAGTGTAGACAAAAGATTTACTCTTTTATGTTGCTTGTTAACATTTATATTTAGTGATAGATACTTATGCCAGTTTTTTGTGGCATGTACATTAAATGAAGCAATTTGTATGACTAAAGGTACATCACATGGTGCAGTGAGCTTATTATACACTTCTGTAATGCAGTATTTATCAACTAATCCACTGCATAGGTAATGAAGAGAAGAGTGACCATTATAATCAGCTTCTAGTAACACTTTATATCCAAAAATATGAACTGTTCTCATAATAAAACCTGATGAAGCATATTGGCATGCTATATGGAGTGGTTTTGCACCAAAACGATCTCTTTGATTCAATTTGATATTGTGATTATTATAAAGATACACTAGAAGCTCTACACTATCACTCATAGCACAATAATGTACTATTCCACATCCGTTAAAATCTATATCATCTTCTGAGAAAATACCAAACTGCTTAAGCTGAAGAACTAATGCTACCTGTCCACTCTTACATGCTAATAATGATAACGTAGATCCTTCTCTATTGACCTGAGAAAGGTTACATTTCTTTTTTAAAAACATAATCACAAGGTCAACATTACCACCCAGTGCTGAGTAAAGTAGTCCTGTGTTACCAGAGCTATCTGCTATGTCTGGATCAACGTGACATTCATTAACTAGATACTGTGCAATATTGAGATGGCCTTTATATGAGGCTACATGCAAACTAATTACACCATCATCATCACCTTGCAAAGGATCACAATGATAAACTTCAATGAGGAGACAAAGGACATCGATATGGCCACCATATGAAGCAGATAATGATGGATTCCAACCATTTATGCCTCTTTTCTGAACACCAGTCTTGTCAATCAATCGCTGTACTTCATCTTTTAATCCTCTCCAACATGCATCATTCAATGGAGTGCTTGTATTCTCATACCAGAGAGGATCATAAATAACTATAATTACAATATCATGAAAAGGTTGATGATAATGATAATAATTACCAAAATAAGGTGAATCATGAAGATTTTTTAATTCATTTTCTGGCAACTGTAATTATAAAAAATTATGAATATCTATCATAATTATTAACATACCTGCTTCATTTCATGTACATATTCATGACAAATCATTTTTATGATTCCAATCTCAGCCAGCAAATCACACTGTTGATTGGTTAATGGAAAGAGAACAGAATAAAGATAATTAGGAATGGAATATTTCAATTCTATGCAGCCATCTTCAATCGTACAAAAATAAAAATTATATTCTGGAACTTCAAGTGCCACAGCAATCAATTTGTGAAAGAAATATAGATCATTTAAAGTGTAGTCATCTCTGGCAACCTTAGCAATCATTACTTTAGTACCTGGAACATCAGAAAGACCAAACTCAATTGAGTCTGCAATTTGAACTGCTTGTGTATTGTTATTTTTAAAATAATCTTTTAATTTTTCTTGATATATAGACCACTTTCTTTGCATATTACTCTCGTTGGTAATAAAGGTATCAACTAACTTGACGACAAGTTCAAAATTAAACCATGAAATGTATTTTCTTAATGCTTTAAACAGCTGCTTCATTGTTATAACATGTTCAAACTCATCCTCAATTGACTCAATCATTTCTGGTTTATCAAAACGTGGGCTAAGTAATATTGCAATATAATGCTGAACAAAATCGATAACTTCTGAAACATCAATAGAACGAAAAGACTTTTCTGTATGATACATATTATCAAGGTAAGCTTCTCGTAGCTCTCCAATCATTCGTGTTAGGTTTTCAGGTGAATATTCAACTGATTTCTTCTTAACGTAAATGACTGAAGACTCAGATTGAGGTAACTCAACAGTTGGAGTAGCTTCTAAAATAATAATATATCAAAATGGCTATATTATATTAATCATTATTAATTTACTTTTAGAAGATGACGTATCAACTGGTGATGTAGTAGCATCACCACTACTAGTAGGCTTAATTATATATTCTTTTGCTATTTCATTAGCTAGAGCTGGATTAGCTCCTCCACTATTACTTTTAATGGAGTTACACAGCATTCTTAATGTAGGGACACCATGACTCTTATAGTCATAGTCCCTCTTTAACCAGCAATCAAATACTTTCTGTAGACAAACTCTAACTCTCTTTGTCTCTGCTTCAATCTCATACAACTTGCTGTAGCTGATTCCCAGCATGATACCAATAGAATCCCAACGTTCTGAAAGAACTGAAGCTTTTTCCCATACCAATCGAAAATCAGTAGTATCTATCATTAATTATAGTCTACCAATGGAGCAATAATTAAAAATATCAACTAACTAAGCTCTCTGTCAAAGGCTGTTTTAAGCTCCTCAGGCTTGGTTGACATTTTGCTGCTTGCAAAGTTGCAACGCACTGAGCTCCACCCTAGTTATAAATTGAATTAATAACTGGCTCCGCCTTCTGCTTCAACGTGAAAATTTTTGGGAGAATCATAAAAATGGAGACTTCTCTCCTAGTCATTTTTGATGCAAGTCCATTGGCCTAAGACCAATCACATAGCTTTTGATCATTGACCCAATTTTGAGCAACTTTTTACATTGTTTTATAGGAGCATGCATAGTGAGAAAAATTAGTGACAATGGAGAATTCTCTCCTAATTTTTGTCTAAATTTGCAAAACCAAAGGCTGGCCCAAATTTTAAATTTCATTAAAAAATCTTAATTTCCATTTTTGCGTATTAAACAAAGGGTTAATTTTAAATATTCTTCTTTTAGATTGTGCATTTTTATGATGAACAGCAAACAGCAAAATTAAATTCCAGCAAATATTTCCAGCTACACAGTATGGAACTCATATGGAACCTGAGGGTTGGAATATCTACATGCATTATGCTCATCATACAAGCATACTACTCCTAGCCTAATCCAACAGTATTAGCCTGGGCAAAACTTCAAAAAATAAAGACATGTAGATCTAGAATTTTTTTATATATAGCAGATAGTGTAGTATGTTACATAGTTGTCACTGCTGGAAATAGTTCACTGTAATACTAGACTACCAGTGGTTGCCAGAGACATTAGATACTGAGAGACTAGTTACTGTGATATCAATTACACTCTCTCAATGATAATAACTCACCATGAAGTTATACATAGATCTGTGAGCATACAGGTACTCATTTGTGAGAAATCTGTTAGTACATTTCATTTTCACTGGTAGATACTACATTCCAATCCTGGTTAGCCTCCAGTATACTCAGTCACATCCATTTGTCACTGATAAAGTGGTTCAGTTGACTTTGAATGAATGATAAAATTAAATGCAAACCTTTTCACATTATTTGGAGCACAGTTAGAAGCTAAAGCAGAGGCAAATATATCTACTATTGATTAAAGTATAAAAAACAATTTTCTATAACAAGGATACAAACAATAAAACTATGAAGTTAACGATCACAATAACAAGTCATTGTGCCATAGTCTCATAAACAGCATCAGGCACCATTTCACTTAGTTCAGTCTTGTGAAGATCATATGGTTCACATACTTGCATTGCAATATCTTGATCAGTTCTATTAGTTAATGTATGCAAATGAGCTAATTAATACTAAACCAATATCAATTTACCTTCTATGTATATTATTTACCTTAATAGATTTAATACTAGAAATATCAAATATTAATAAAAATGTTGACATTAGAGGTTCTAACAAACCGTGAAATAATTTAACAGATATTGATAACAATGCTGACAGTCAACATAGTAAACAATACACCTACTAGTCCACTCATTGCAAAAGCAATATCGCAGTCACAAGAAGTAGTAGCTAAAATAATAATTGTAATAAAACTTTAATAGCAATGACTTCAATACCTGATGTTGAAGTTATAATATATGTAACTGTAACTGCTTGAAGAGAAGGCAATTCTATTGTTTTATTAACAATAAGTTTCCAGTTCCCATGCCCTTTAACAGTATATGCACGTACACCAAAAATATAGCAACTGGTTTTATTAAGACCGGTAATGTTAGTAAATGAACTGACACTACTAAAAAGCTTCAAAGTTTGAAAATTGAAATTAGTACCTTCTGCCATCGTACAGTTGTCAGACAACAAGACATGATACCCTATCTCATATGTGATGGGATAGTCTGATGGAATATAACTAGGTACACTCCATGAAATAACAGCCCATGTAGTGTCCATGATACTGGATACTGAACCAACTGGACCAGGTACTATAAATTAAAAAAGCATTCTCACAGAACTGATATAGACTAGTATAATAATTGCATACCTACTCCAATTTTTACTACAATAGGATCACTCAAGGGACCTCTTCCAACAGAATTGACAGCAGCTACACTGATGTTATACTCAGTACCAAATACTAGATCATTTAATATGATATATCTCTCAGTACTGGTTAGGTTGTATGTGATACTACTGTTACTGATTATCACTGTATAGCCTGTGATTAGACCATTACGCTGAAAACAATTGACCTCATTCCAAGTGAGATTATTAGTTGTTGAATTAACTGGTAAAATGTAAATTGATGAAGGCCAACTACTAGGAACTATAAAAATTACAGTACAAATGATTTATTTGAAAGACTTAAACATACAATTTATTGCTTTAGTTTTTAAGATAATTGTGTTTGACTCAGATCCTCCTAGTACATTACCAGCTCTCACTGTGATGGTATAGTTCATACCACTGTACAGACCTATTAATGTATAACTGTATGTTGTAGTGGACTGATGAGGAGCAACAGAGACTGTCTTGTTCACTGATGATAACTGGGGACAAGATGGAGTATAGGAGATGGTGTAGTAAGTTATATAGTTGTCACTACTGGGAATAGTCCAGTTCACTGTAATGCCAGTGGTTGAGACATTAGATACTGAGAGACTAGTTACTGGACTAGGAACTAGAACAGATATCAGTTACACTCTCTCAATGATAATAACTCACCATCAAATCTTAACACTGCTACTGTACCATTAACTGAAGGAAGGTCTATATATGAGTAGACACTGATGGTATAGGTACTCATTGGTGAGAGATCTGTTAGTATAATTTTATCATCACAAGTAGACACTACATTCCTGGTTACACCTCCAGTAGTATACTCAATCACATATCCATTAGTCTCTGATGAAGTGGTCCAGTTCACTTTGATGCTAATAGCATTTAATATGAACCTTCTCACATTATTTGGAAGACCAATTGGGGCTAAAAAAGAGACAAAGGTATCTACTATTGATTAAAGTATAATCATACCATGTAATATCACAGATTGACTGTAGTTGACTCCTTCAATCATTGCTATACAGGTAACATTGACTGACACTCCCAGTGGATCAGGATATACCAGTAGTGTGTTGTTGTATGTCAGGACATCAATTGATGTATACATTGAGTTACTCTTAATCACTCCATTCACTAACCAGTTAACATCAGTTAAAGGATTTATATCAGTAGTTGTAAGACATTCAATACGATATTGAGTGTTATTGAGTTGTGTAATGGATGAGATAATCCAATCAATTGAAATAATAACTAGAAATAGCTAAACAATGTTACAACATTAAAAGATTCAGTAGCAATACCTGGTAAGGTCTGTACACTGATTGTACTAGCAGGTCCTAATAATTGCTGTTAGGCTCTGACTGTGATGCTATAATTTGTTCCTCCTCTCAGTCCATTCAGTGTGATTGTATCATTACTGCTTCCCTCCACCTGTACTGTCTGCACAGTGTCTGTGTCACTAGTGACATTGACTACATATCCATCAGCATCAGATGAATCAAGTGCAGTCCAACTGACAGTAATAGTGGTAGTTGTCTTGTTGATCTCAGTAAGAGAAGAGGGAACAGTTGCTGGTACTAAGAAACAGATCTACATAATAATTTAAAACCAGTTTGTTACCTTTTATAGTTACATTACGTATCCTGTTTGCAATACCATGAGGATAATCCACTACCCTGCACTCATACATTTGATCTCCAGTGGTTGATTGATTGATTGATCCACTATTGATTGTCATTCCATCCCATGTGATAGTAACCATATATCTTACGGTGTTAGTATTACCATCTAACACAGTACTAGGACACTCACTATATGGATCATCACAGTTAGTGTAATTAGCCAGTGCAGTACTACCAATGCTCATACTAATATCATACAGATAGTATCCAATTTTAGTACAATTCAGTTTGTATTTCTGAGGATATACTGTCATATCAGAAGGAAGATCAGCAACAGTAAATGATTCTATCTCTGAATATCCTACAAATGAAAATTATTACATCAGTGACTGATTACACTCTCCTCTTACTGAATATATTAGCAAAGATGATGTTAGTGGTAGGATCTGAACAATCAGTGGGTAGACAACACTTGTACCAGCCGTCTTGATCAGCTGATAGTCCCTGAGCAAGATACAGATTAAGATTAGCAGGTGAAGTGACATTAGTACAACGAAAAGGATCACTGTCACTATTACTGTTACAGTCAACAGGATCATCAGGATCAGCAACTCTAACCCACTGACCAGTAGTTAGACTAGTACCAGGTAACACACATGATATAGCTTCAGTAACTGCATTGACACTTCTATCCCAAAAATATGATCCATTAGGATAACAGTTTTCATTATATGCCATATAGATACCTATAAAATTAATACTTACACTTCTAAATATATATAATAAAAAATACTTTCTTGCTGACATAGAATGAAGACAGTGGCAGGTCCCAGTAATTGTTGATATGCTCTGACTGTGATGCTATATGTTGTTTCTAAATTCCATCCATTCATTGGGATTGTATTATTACTACTTCCCTCCACCTGTACTATCTGTATAGTGTCTGTGAAATTACTGACATTGACTACATATCCATCAGCATCAGATGAATCAAGTGCAGTCCAACTGACAGTGATAGTGGTAGCTGTTTTGTTGACCTCAGTAAAAGAGGGAGCAGTTGCTGGTACTGAAATATGATCATAAAATTGTAAATTGGCTTCATTGAAATTACCTTTTATAGTTACAATACGTATTCTGTTAGCAATACTATCAGGATAGTCCACTACCCTGCACTGATAGCTTTGATCTCCAGTGGTTGATTGACTGATTGATCCACTTCTGACTGTCATTCCATCCCATGTGACATGAACAGTATATCTTACTGTGTTGGTATTACCAACTAACACAGTACTAGGACATTCACTATATCGATCATCACAATCAATGTAACTAGCCAGTGCAGTACTACCAATGCTCATACTAATATCATACACATAGAATCCAATTTTAGTACAATTCAGTTTGTATTCCTGAGGATATATTGTCATATCAGAAGGAAGATCAGCAACAGTAAACGATTCTATCTCTGAATATCCTACAAATTAAATGAAAATCATTACTGATTATAGGTCTTACTGAATATATTAGCAAAGATGATGTTAGTGTTAGGATCTGAACAATCAGTGGGTAGACAACACTTATACCAGCCTTCTTGATCTGCTGATAGTCCCTGAGCAAGATAAAGATTGAGAGTAGCAGGTGAAGTGACATTAGTACAAAGAAAAGGATCACTGGCACTATTATTGTTACAGTCAACAGGATCATCAGGATCAGCAACTCTAACCCACTGACCAGTAGTTAGACTAATACCAGGTAACCATTCTCAGTAACTGCATTGATACTACTATCCCAAAAATACGATCCATTATGGTTACAGTTTCCATTATGTGCTAAATAGATACCTATAATAACTTATAGTAAAATTAAAATACTTTCTTTCTGACATAAAGTGAAGTCTGTGAAGACACTATAATACACATCCAGTGTCTTACCTGAGGAAGGTGGACATTGACTAATACCTTCACTGACACTCAACAAGAAGACAACAGACACCATTAGCACTGACACTGCCATTTCACCCATCATGAATAGTACAATATATTGACTGTTGCCGTTGCATGCTTTTCCTTCTTAAACACTGAACTGATAGTGTTGTTTCCTCTTCACAATGTTATGAATAATATCTTCATGCTTTTAACTTTAAAAGTGATGTAGTGTGTCTGCTATACTAAACTTTCATTTGGAATAAAATTGGAATTTTTATAGTCAACACATCTCCGTACAGGCAATTAATTGCAGCTTATTGCTAACATATTATAAATAATAATAATAAAGTATTCTGTTACGTACTAAAATTTCTGTAAAAGATAATATTAAAGTTTAGCTTTCAACTCTTCCTTAGTCACAGTTTCCAAATGTACAATATCAGGTCCATCAGCAACTCTTAATGAGCGAGCATACATATACCAGTGAGCTAATAGACTATCCTGTGACACTCCCAGTGCCCCATGCAACTGTATGGCTCTGTCAATTACACTGCATGCCATGCATTCATTGTTGTTCTCCATTTGAAACAAGTTATTATAATAACATGAATCTATGCTTTTAATAAACTAGGCTATTGTAATGTTGATAATCAAACTCTTAACTCAAAGATGATCAGAGTAAAAGGAAAGAGATAGGGACACACAAAAAGAGCAAGAAGTAAAAAACACATGAGAATGTGTATTAGCTTTGTGTATATAACAATAATAGATCTGTGTGTTAGAGTAATGGTTTGTCACCAATTCACCATACTTTCAAACTACCGGTAATTAGTTTAAGTGTAGATGTCAATTTTCTTGTCTTTACATACTCGTGTTGTTTATGTGGGGCTCACCCCAACTAATAATAATTCTCCAATATAATGATTGCACAGTCAAGTGTAATTTAAAAGATTAAAAGTCTGTTCTTTCCATCTTCAGCAACCCATATTGATCCATCAAAAGCAACTACTATCCCTCTCAAACTACGCAAATTCCTATCAGTTGACACAACTGAATGGTAAGATGAATCAAATACACCAATTTTTGATGGCCCCGCATTCATACTAATAATAGAATAACCAGCTGGATCAAAAGCTATTCCACATGGTCCATGTTTAATAGGATAGCTATTTATAAATATTCCATCCAGTGTAAATACAGCAACATTGTTTGAACTGTGGCCAGTAATATGAAGGTGACCATTCAAATCAATGGCCACATCTTCTGGTTGCTTAAACTTGTGCTCTCCATTTATGGTACCCAGGATGAAGTGAGAGTGACTGCCATTTTGATGAAAGACTTGAATTCGGCCATTACCATACTCAGTAACATACAGTTTCTTATTATTGTCTATGCATAAGCCCCATGGATATTTAAGTTGCCCTTTCCCTGAGCCTTCACAGCCAAATGTATCAATAAATTCTCCTTTCCTAGTAAACTTGTGTATTCTATTGCCATTATTCTCAGCTACATAGACTGTATTGCCACTGATTGCTATGCCTGCAGGTTGCTGGAATTGTAACTGACCTTTCCCCTTTGATCCTATAGCTCTCTGGTACTCTCCATTACTATTAAATACATAGACACAATGGTGTGTGTTGCTAGTAACAAATACATCTCCATCATCTGCTACTGCTATGAAATAAGGTGAAGGTATATCCGGTATAGTGAATAATGGCACCTTTAGAGTAGACGTATAGTCTCGGCTGATGTACAGATTAAATGGACTATTTCTGATTGGCATATCATTAAGCAAAATGGAAATTTTCTGTTGCCCATATTGTTGAGGAATAAAAGAGACAGTGTAAGTACCATCACCAGAATCGATAATAGTAACAGAAATGGGTTTCTTTTCTCCTCCTCCTCCTCTACATGTGATTTGACCAGTAACTCTAGCTCCTCCTTTGTCTAATCTCATGCCAAAAGAATCTCTTGATATTACATTAACTCATAACTCTTTACCGGCCACATGAATACATGATGGTATCTCAGCTGTAGTCTCCTCAGGACAAACGGGATCAGTCCAATTAACTTTATCAAGTGACGCAATACCTGATGCAATTTTACCTACATTCATCTCAACGTTAACAGGTGGGCTCTCACACAGCTTGAGTGATGTACCAGAGAACTTCTCCTGTAGCTCAGTGGCTCTGGTCTGGAGTGTACGAGCAATAGAAAGTAATTCTACGTCACCATAATCTCTGACAGCAGTCAATGATAGATTTTGACATGCTGCCATGTCTTCCATTAAAGACTTGAAAGTATCAAGCTGGTGAGAGAGACGAGCTTGCATAGCCATTGAAACTTCATTGCTTTTTTCTATTAATGATTGTTCTCTACCTTCCAGCAACTTTTGAAGACTAGCAATACTTTGGTATATAAGCGAGTCAACTTCCTCCTTCTGTTTTCTTATCTTCTCTTTTGCTATTTCTCCTGTATTCAGAACTGCTTTCAGTTTCTCCTTACTTTCATGAACAGCAGTCATCACTTTAGTAAGCTCTTCTTTTGTCTTTGCTGCTTGTGGTTTGGCTTCAGAAACAGCATGGTCTCTGTGACTGATTATAGTGCATTTAACACAAACAGGTATAGAACACTGGATACAGTAGAAGTCAAGCTCTCGACGAGGGTGAACATGACATGAGAGAGATATCGATGGGAGGAGGTTGAGCAGATCCCTTCTTGGCATAGTTCGTGCTTTTTCTAAGGTGAATGATGAATGAGAGCGAGTAACTTTAACTCTTTGATGAGCATCCCAACAAATTTGACAAAGAAAATCCATACAGTCAGTGCAATAAACAACGGCAGATCCAACCCCATCATCACAGGAATTGCACGACGGAGATGTGGAAGACATAATTTTAAGCAAAATCTCTTCTTTATTGCTAAGCAACCGGAAATTGCACGGGAGAGAGATGATACTGCCATCTCCTTTAGGTAGTGTAGTAATTTCACTACATGTTGGACAGATAATGGCTTGTTTTGAGGCCTGTTCATCAACCAGTGATTTGAGGCACGGAGCACAAAAAGAATGAAGACAAGAGAGGAGACGTGGATCAGTATATGAGCCATTACACTTTGGACATAAAAGAGAGTTTTCTAGCATTACTTCCGAGGATTTCTGAGAACTGGAATCGATTGCTGCCATATTTAATGTGAGCTGATTGGTATTTAATTTGGCAATGAATAAAACGTCATAGCACACGCCCCCCCCCCAATTAATTAGATCTAAGTTGAGTAAGTTCTAACAGTGCACATTCCAGAGGCAAGAGTTTTCTTGCCTGAATCAGCAATGCTGCCAAGAATTAATGAATCAAGTCTGACATCAGTACTGTTACAGTCCTGACAGGCATCATTGCTAATCATGACTGTTGCTCTGGCTGAACCAGTATAAATATTTATCATAATTGTATCATGCCTGATTTCATTATTGTATTGTTACTGAGTGCCAAAAAACCACGATTCAGACTGGTATTAGGATTGATTTATACTAGATTTCATCTTAATTCAGGTTTCAACTTTTGGGTGTGTATGGGGGTAGGTATACTTATGGTATATTTTATGGGGATTTAATTTCGCTAATTTCATAGTTTTAAAAAATTCGTGAAAATTTTTATATTTTCTATCATACTAATAATGGTCAGTGAAAGACAAACGCCAAAATTTTCCTTGTGAATAGGTTGAAAGTGATTTTCGTTAAATTTTTTTCACGAAATATTACCAGTCTTAATAATTTTTCTTATTGTGACTTATTAAATTTTCCCCATTGGTTGCTTACAGCAACTATATTACATAATAATAATTATTGGATCTTCAATATATGGCATAATGAATGATTGTAAAATTAAGGCTTAATTTACATACAATATGTAACTCTGCATCTAATTTTTTGATTTTAATTTTTTGTAGTGCAAAAATTTTTGACTGAAACTATACAGTAGCTACTTGACATGCTATTACTGTTATTAAGAGTACATATAATACCATATAGCAGAAATTTTGGAGAGAGTTAAAATGTAAATTTGGTGTTTTCATAGCCATTTTCCAAAATAAAAATTCCTCAAATTTAAGCCATTATGCGCATGCTCAATGGAACATAGCCACAAATTTGCCAAAATGCAATTAGCCAATCACAAAAATTAGCAATTCACAAAAATTTAATCCCCAAAATTAATTTCCTACTCCTACAGACTACAGTGATGTCTTCATCAACTCTATTACTTTACTGTACTATATCCCGAACAAATAATTCGAGAAGAGACAAAAGGAATCATTAGTATTGGGCATAATTGTTCTGTTTTTTGATACTGGGGATGGGGCAGGAATCACAGGATTTCCTATGGGATTTTGATTGGCATAGTGCTCATGTAGTTGCTCAAAAATTAGGCGAAAGGCCTTGTACTAGCTATAGATATATATATAGTACAGAGTATTTTACAAAAACCACATAAAGAGAATTTTCCTTTTTAATATTTTTTCACATATATGTTCTTATGTTGCGTATCAACTTTGAGATCAAATTTGGATTTTTAATGAATTTTAAAGTTGATCAAAAATTAGGCCAACGACCAAGGCCTTGGTCTTAGGCAAAAACTGAGTAGCAGAGAATTTTTAATTTCTATAATTTTGTTGATTTAAATCAAATTTGAATTTTTATGAATTTTGAAGTTGCTCAAAAATTAGGCCAACATAGCTTTAATTATAGGCATATCTTAACTAGGCCAATCTGTCCAAACTTTGTTAAAAATGGCTAAAAAAAGAATTTCTAATTTTTGTATTTTTTTGATACATAATATACATGTCCTTATGTTGTGTATCAACTTGAGCTGATTCCAATTGAAATTGGATTTTTATGAATTCTTAAAGTTGCTCAAAAATCATTCCAACAACCAAAGGTTACTTAGGTTAAATTTTGTCAAAATAGCAAGGAGAGAATTCCCCATTTTTATAATATTTCTGATGCATATACATCAGGGTTTTATGCATTGGGAGTGGTAGTGATGAAACTAACACTTTTATTTTAGTTTAGTTTAGTTTTTTAATTTTTCCTTGTAGTTTAGGGAAGGTTCTATCCCAAACTCTAAATCCCCTCCAAAATTAAATAATAAAAATTACTTACGTGACATGATTGACCAGTTATCAAACCGAGCATTCAACGATTAACAAAAAATAAAAACATTAGAATGAAATACCATAGATATGTACAATAATATTACTAAATTAAAGTTTTTTTCTCCCTCCAAAGTCTCATCTTGCCACGCGTGGCAAGACTTATCTCCCCCTACACAAAAAAGCTGGTCCTTATGTTGTCTGATTTTGATCAAATTTAGATTTTAAAATAATGCCATGTGCTGTATTGTAGTGATTGTAGTGTTTCTCAGCTCTTGAAGCATACTGTTTAGCTCACTTAGCAAGCTTTGTAGAAAACTCTGGGAAATTAACACACAATAGCACCCACCCTATAGGTAAAAGTCTTATCTCATTCTTTCTTTCTTCATGCAGTCACTAAATAACTCTTTTTTCTGATTACTCATGAACATTAATATCGCAGCACTAACTCACTGCAAAATACTAAGGTATGCACACTTTAAATTTATACTAGCATCTGTTACTTTAAGATATGCTGGCTTGAATTTGAAGATACTAAAGTAAAACTAGAGACAGAACAACAATTGAGTTATAATGACGAGTTAAAATGACAAGTACAAAAACATTGTTATTTTAACTCTCAATAGATTGTTAACAATTATTACTATGGCATATCTAATTATTAAGTGTACTAATTTTTATGTCAATAGCAAATTAGGAATTAATTGATCAAAGATCCAATTTGTTAACATGCACATTTGACTGCTTTTAGATGCCAATGCTTGTTTTTTTTTCTCTTCAATTAACCCATGTTGGGGTAATTTAATCATTCATTTTTTACAGTGAAACACACATTGTTATCAGAAAATAGAATATTTTTTCATTTGAATCAAAAAAGCTCTTAGTCAAATCAGCTCAAACTTTCTGCATAGCATAAGGATGTGACAGATTGACTATTTAATGTCTACAAAAAGGTCAGAGAGCTTCTTTTGAAATTATTCAAATATTGTTATGATGATTTTGACTTAAGGAAGAGAGCATGGGCTAGAGTACAAGCTATATTTTTCAAAAAATGGAGGTTGTTGAATATGTTGGGCTTGTATTGCTCTATTTATTTTTTAATAACATAACTGTTAGTTTCGTCACCCAGCCCCTTTGCTTTAGGAAGGGGCGAGGCAACAAGACTATAATTGTGCTCATTGCCAACAAAGAACAACTTTGTGTATTTTGAAGGGTATATTGATACTAGTCTCACCCTGCCCCTTCACTGATACTAACTTTCTCTATTAACTAAATCACATAAAAATGTCATGTTTAGACATGTTTATGTTCATGCTCATAATAATTATATTATGCAAGCTGTAATAGTCTGAATTCTCCTAAGCCTAACTCTGGTACTGATTAGGACAAGAAATAAAAACATTGAATTTGCTGGCATCAAAGCTGCTATATTGGCAAACAAAACTAAGCACAATTGCACACAAACTATATAATGCTATACTACTGCTAGTGGGAATGTTTTAATGAGTATTAAGTTGTTGTAACACATTCATTTGGTGTGACACATTCATATACAACATCAGGTGATGTTTGACATTCATCATAGACTGCCTCATATTCTTCACTTAAATTAGCCTTGTGAATTTCATATGGTTCACATACTTGCATTGCAATATCATCATCAGCTCTATGATGATAGTAATTAACTTAACATATAAAATAGACTAACTTTGTTTGCCTATTAGCAGTAGATGGACTTTTTTTCCTAAAGAAAAAACAATAATAATTTACGTGTAACAATGTGGACTATACTTTATAAAGCAGTAGATATTGAAAATGAAACTGACAGTCAGTAGAATTAACAATACACCAACAATCACACAAAGAGCAATAACACTATCTGTTGTAAAACTGATTGATGGACAGCTATATGACGGTTGTGGTGGTAGTTTTAGTGTCTCATTAACAATAACTATCCAATCTCCATATCCATTACTAGTGTAGGCACGTACACAAAAAATGAAACAAGACATATCATTCAGACCAGTAATGTTAATAAATGTATTGCCATTGCTTGAATTACAAAGTTGTAATATTTCAGTATTAATGTACTCGTCATCATATGCCATCAAACAATTACCAGACAGTAAGACATGATACCCTATCTCATATGTGACAATGGGATAGTCTGATGGAATATAACTAGGTACACTCCATGAGATAACAGCCCATGTAGTGTCCATGATACTGGATATTGAACCGACTGGACCAGGTACTATAAATAAAGACACATTTTCACAGAACTGATGTAGTATAATAATTACATA